GAAAACCAGTCGAGCGTTACACCCTTCAGACCATAGAGCTCAAGCTTTTTTAATAAAATATTATGTGAAACGGTGTCAAAGGCTTTGGCAAGATCGAGAAGCACAATCAAATTGGTCATGCCTTTGTCAATGTTAAGATACCAATTATTTGTTAAATGTAACAGCGCTGTCACTGTAGAGTGAAGGGAACGAAATCCAGACTGGTTTTTTGTCAACAGGCCATTTGAATTTAAGTACCTGTATAGTTGATCGTAGACTACCCTTTCACAAATCTTAGAAATGGCTGGCAAGACAGATATTGGTCTATAGTTTTGTGCATCTGTGCGATCATCCTTTTTATACAAAGGAAATACTTTAGCCATTTTCCACTGTGAAGGAAAGAGGCCAGTATCTATGGTTTTGTTTATGATACAGGTTAAAGAAGTGGCAATAATTGGGCCAGCTTCTTTTAGAAGCCGACATGAGATGTTATCAAGGCCAGTGGCCTTGTTCGGAGATAATTTACCTAATAACTTTAAAACTTCAGTGGCAGAGGTATGTTGTAAATTAAAAGTCGTGGAAACAGGCTTTATGTAAGAGTCAAAACTTGTATTACCATTAGGCAGTGTGGAGGCTAGGTTTGGACCGACAGATGTAAAATGGTCATTTAAAATCTCACACATTTCTGCGGGTTTTGTGAAGGAATTATCACCACTTTTTAGTTCACTTATTGAAGAGTTACTAGTGCACTTACGATATGTTAATTCATTGATTGTCCTCCATATTTCCTTCGGGTTACCCACATTTTGTTCCACTTCTGATTTGTAATAATTCGCTTTTGCCATTTTAATCTCATTATTTATTCTATTTCTTTCTTTTCTATATTTATCCCAGATAGATGGCTGTTTTGTTAATATAGCCTGCCTTTTCAGTCTGTTTCGACCTGTTATCAGCTCCCTCAGATCAGTAGTAATCCAAGGGGATTTTTTATTTCTTACTCGCCGCGTTCTTATAGATAGATAGATAGACAGATAGATAGATAGATAGATAGACAGATAGATAGATAGATAGATAGATAGATAGATAGACAGATAGATAGATAGATAGATAGACAGATAGACAGATAGATAGATAGACAGATAGATAGATAGATAGATAGACAGATAGATAGATAGATAGATAGACAGATAGACAGATAGATAGATAGACAGATAGATAGATAGATAGATAGATAGATAGACAGATAGATAGATAGATAGATAGATAGATAGACAGATAGATAGATAGATAGATAGATAGATAGACAGATAGACAGATAGATAGATAGATAGATAGACAGACAGACAGATAGATAGATAGATAGATAGATAGACAGATAGACAGATAGATAGATAGATAGACAGATAGATAGATAATTTAATTACCAATACTTTGCAGCCCGAAGATTGAATTGCGTATTTAGAAATGATTGAACTGATAAAGTGTGTATATGAAACTAAGTACAGTAAATATAAAAGTATAACAAATATGATAAAAGGACTAAAAACCTACGTATATATATTATCAATACAGGATCTAATAATAAAACTAGTTCAATAGTCTCCTGGTAGAGCAGTCTTGGGCATATTATAGACATTGCCCGCTTTTCAACTCGATCGCACCAACTCGTCTTTTAGGTACTTTCATTGGCAGGGTATAAAAAAAGACAGGTTCCGCGTACGTAAGAAAAGAGCGTATACAAGCAGTTTAAAAGGTGGACATATCCTGCCGAGGAACTTTTGATCTTTTTAACTGCACTAAAAAATGCAGACGCTTTAACGCTTTCTTGATCACGTCACTAATATGCTCGTTGCACGTAAGGTTGCTCGATATGGTCAGGCCTAGTAGTAGTGTCCTAGTCACCCTCTCTAGCTCTTTACCATCTACTACAATAGGCGCGAACTGGGGCTCATTCTTTACAAAAGATATTCTGAGCTCCTTACACTGTTGTCGCTATTGAGTTTTACTCTATTCTGCGTAGACCACTTCGCAACCTTATCCGCGATATCGTGGGCACAACTTCGGTTGCCCTTGTACTTCCATACATTAGCTGAATTATCAACAATAGCCATGGGCCTAATTTTGTTCCCTGAGGGACCCCGGAGGGCACTGAATCCCACTCGGAGTAACAACCCTCAGATAGTTTGATTCTTTGGGAACGATTAGAAAGGAAATCTACCTTATCGGTACTAATTTTCGCGTCGCTTTAATCAGTTCACGATTTTCGCGATTTAAAAAAAAGATTCGCGAACTTAAAGTGACGCGAAAAAAAATTCCAGCGAATTTTAATGTCGCGAAATTTAATACCCTCCTATATTTCTTGTTTTCTCAATTTAATGAAGAAACACATGCCTACGTATTGTGTATAATTTGTAAAAGCTTTATGGCATGCCTACAGATGATAAACAACAGTTTAACGGTCAAATTTCACCATCTGTGTTACTTTGAACCTCTTCATTTGTATTGCTATCGCCATCTTCAAGTCCATTCAGCACCTCTTTTGTACAGTCATTGAAATGGCCATCTATCCCGGGTTCTTTGTAATTTGAAACGACATGGTACTCGGACGAAGTAAAGCAGCAAATAGAATCGGGAGGAGACAGCACTGATATTAATGTGGATCTGCGACTGACAGTCCTAAATCCACTTCATGCCGTCTGGTTGGTGGACCTTTACAACCACCTGAGTATCATGTTGGTGTGTGACACATCGCGAAAGGATGGGAGAAAGCTAGGATCTCTGGCCTCTTAGTTGGACAAACGGATCTCCCTCCGGAAGACCCGTTCACTGACATCGAGCTCGCCCTAGATTGATTAGATGCCCATGCCAATGGTACACATAGCTCTAGTGTAATTCACGGCTACAATGTAAATATGTATTACACAATTGCAAAGAACGTTAAGCATAAAGATAATTTGACTATGCCTATGGTACAAGATGCGGTTTCTATAGTTTGGTTTTGTTATGAGTTGATGATTTTCGGCAATAAGAAGTGTAAAATAATAATAAAATTCTCGAAGTAAAATGTGTTTTTTTTTTCATTTTGGCGAAAATTAATTCCCTAAGAAAATAATTTTGCACCCATATCGCGAAAATAAAGACCCGCGAAATATGCCGACCTTTTTTTAGCGAAACTAAGTGCCCGCGAAAATTAGTACCAATAAGGTATATGATCCAATTGATAATTCTTGTAGGCAGATTCAACCTGCACAATTTCTCTTCAAGTATTCTATGATCTATAAGGTCAAACGCTTTTTTATAATCAAAGAGAATAGCTCTGACTGTAACGCCGTTGCCATCAGTTTTCTTGGACCAGTTGTGAAGCATGTGTATCAGTGCCTGGGCGGTGGAAAGTTGCTTTAATCATAAGGTTCTGGCTGTGGAACTCTCTGCCGGCATAATATCCGTGTGTCTGCTTCTCTTGCTGCCTCTAAACTTGCATTGAAAATTGTTCAACTAGATATAATGAATACTGTTCTTTTTGTGAACAATGTAAAATTTCGGAATTACCTGCACATACATGTATAATTTAATTTTTATGTATCTACTTGTGTTTATTTCACCTATTGATGTACTTTAATTATTTTATAGTTTTTTTTTCTTCGGAGACATTAGCAATTTTGCTATCAACAAATCCGAAGTTGAATAAAGTTTTTGATTGATTGATTGAACAATTGTACTGATGTCTGCAAAGTGCGCGACGAGTGCGTGACCAAACAGAGATCGCGTGATGTCGCCCGTGGGCCGCGGTCCATTATGGGTAATAGAGTTCCTAATAATTATGGAACTTCTTCCGCGTTCATTGTAGCGGCATTGCTCGCAGGCTGCACGCAAATATGTACATCTTATGAGTTTGTGTTGCCTTTGGTAAACTCAAGTTCACGATGTAGAACGGACAAATGTACCTGGTAAGTTCATTACACATGGCTCTGAAGGTAGAAGAAATTAATCTGTTTTAGTTCTTTCATACATCTGCAGTTGTATATTAGCAGATATTAGAAAAAACCTCGCTTGGCGAAGGCGCCAGCAGTAAGAATAAAGGGAATCAAGCAGTGGGGAAAAATATGATTAACTTTTACAGTTGTACATTAAATATAGGGAAATGTGGTGCACTTGAACATGCGAAATATGGGCTGGAGAGGTACTATATACACCCCATTTTTGCACCACCTGAGCTTAACAATGATTGCAGTATAAAACGTTGATTACTGATAATAGGAGAAAAAAAATAGAGGATTTGGTTTGCCATAGTAAACTTCACCCAAAGGCATCTGAAACAGCGCGGAATCTTTAACAAAAATACGATCTGGAACTAAAACATTAGTTGTTTGTTGTTTGTTTTAGTTGAGTTATCATATATGGTTAATTATATAATAGATCAAACAGTAATAGACAAACTTACAAATTGCAACATATTGATGATCATGCAGTGTTTTAAGGCTATTGACTGATATACTGTGATGAAAAGGCAGTGATGATCAAGAAGTGAATAAATTAAGTGGCCCTTTTCATACTTTTGGGGAGGCTACAAAGTTATGTGTATGTAATTGTGCCTGTTACAAAAACCTGGCATTTCAAGGTATTCATTGAGGCGGATTAGCCATGTCCCTATCAGTATTTTACAATTTTGTTTGTATTGTCTTCATTGTTGTCACGGTTTTATCCCATATTTGTGTCTTGATGTCACCATTTCATCTCTCGAATGTTGCTAGCTAACTGTTTCAATGCCGTGATACTTGTCAAAGTACCAGGGTCCCTGCTTTGACTCAGACATTGAACTTGACCAGTATAAGAGTTTTGTATGGGAAAGTCACGTTTGCCAACAAATTTTCATCATCTTTGAAGATTTTTATCGTCAATTATAGAAACATATTCCAGCTTGTTTCAATAACATATATCCTGAAAATAATCAACGTATGCAAGACAATGTTAAACATGGAAAAAACTGTACAGATGAGTGATTTTCATTCTTATGCGGTGTTATTACTGTGGGTAAAATTATGTTATGGCATTAATATTTTACTAAGAAATGTATGGAGAGCAGGGCTTCAAAGCTGTTCATAAAACAATGCGTTTGGTTAAATTTATAGGCAAAGGTTGATCAATTTTTTTTTCAAGTGCTTACATTACGCTACTTAGTACAACAACTGTATGGTACCTACATACCTGGCCGCACAACAACAGAATGAACTTACACAATTTCCGGTTTGTGTTAGTCTTGGTGTGCTTTTCAGCTCAGAAATTCTGCCACAAGCTGGCGAGAAGCACATGCTAACCTGATTTTCTCTTTAGCAATTTCAGTTTTGAAGTATCATACAACCAGAAATGTTATGTCATGTTTCGGTGCATAGAGTGCTATCTGACTAAGACAGAGCTAGGCCGATTTCAGTAGCCTACTTTGATCAGGTCGCTTTATTTTCTGATTTAAACCATTTATTTGAGTTACTTGGACCAAGTTTTGCTCCCTATAGCTGCAGTGATGCCTTTTATATATTAGAATGAAGCTAAAAAAAAATTGAAAGCGCTCATTGCAAATTTTATGAACAATGTTCATGTCGGAAACGCATGTTGCTCATACAAAGCCTTTGAGCAGAATGCAAAGTTTGTCTGAGTCATGCAGGGGGTCTAAGGTGACAAAACTTATTTTTAGTAATAGTGCAAAGCGCTGTTAGGTAGGATGACATTTCTTGCTTGAATTGTGTTTAATGTGAAAGCAATGTAAAACAATGTACACGTACAGTCAAATTAAAATGAACAAATAAGTTTCATAGTTAATTATTAATAATCATTTAACTGACAACTGACAAAAGGCCAAAAATTTAGATGACAACTGACAAAT